ATGGCCTATAAGAGCTAGTTCCGAGACAGGCTCAAAAAATAAAATAAAAGGGGGCTGGAGAGATGGCTCAGTGGTTAAGAGCATTGCCTGCTCTTCCAAAGGTCCTGAGTTCAATTCCCAGCAACCCACATGGTGGCTCACAACCATCTGTAATGAGGTCTGGTGCCCTCTTCTGGCCTGCAAGCATACACACAGAAAGAATATTGTATACATAATAAATAACAAACATTTAAAAAAAATAAAATAAAATAAAATAAGGACTTATCATGACAATGACACATCTGTTCCTGGCAGCACCAATATACTTCAAAAAGAAGATGGGCATCGAAGAGGCTCCTTATGGAGTTTGATAGCCATTTGGTCAAGAAACTGTTCTTGCCTGGACTGCTTGATGTTATGCTGTGTGAACTGGATATGCAGGACGCACAGAGAAATGACTACTAAACTTGCCTAAAGGTGAGACAATCCTTCAGGGCTCCTGCTTCATACAAGAGTCTGCCAGACATTCTGCAGGACACAGAAGAATGCAACTGATGAACTTTGTTTGCCATTACAAGGTAAAACAGATCTTTAAATTTTCTGCTTCATGGAAAAGTCTGCTGGATATTATTGGCCTGTAGGCTGAAGAAGGGTGCCCCAACAGTACAGAAGAACTTTGGGTGACTGTCCAGGTAGTGAGATGTCTCTGTCAATTCTAGAGTTTTGGAAGTTGCTTACTTACAATGCACTTCTTGTTAACTTAGGTAATATTATATCCTTCTGGGGTCTTTGATGGAGTTGAAGAATAGATAGTTATAACTATAGTTTTCCTTAGGTTATGATAAAATATAAAATAGATAAAAATATTGCAACCATAATTCTTGCTTGATACTTGCTTGTTATATGTAATTTTACTATGTTAAAGTTAAACAGAAAAGGGGAAATGGTGTGGGAAGTCCCTTTGTATATGTGTTGCTTTTATTGCTTAAAGAATAAAAAAAGATGCTTTCTGCCAATGGCTTCACAGAATATAGCCAGACTGGAAGAGATATATATAGAGAGAGTAGGTGTAATCAAAGAGACACCACGTAGCTGCGAGCGGGGAAAGACGTGAGCTGTCAGCTGGAACCTTGCTGGTAGGCCACGAGCCTCATGGCAAAATATAAAATAATGGAAATGGGTTAATTCTAGATGTAAGAGCTACCTAGCAATACACAAACAGTACTGCAAATAATATAGTTTCTGTGTAGTTATTTCAGGGCTGAGCAGCCGGGAACAAACAAGCAGTCTTCTATTACAGATGGGTGTGCCAAGGTAGTTGACTGTATCCACTTAAAATCTGAGAAAGCTTAAAAAGTAATTCTAGAAAATAACAGAAATGGATTATAGGCCAAGCAGTGATTTCATTAATACAGTTTGTCTGGTTATTTTGAGTCTGGGCAGCCGGGAGTGAACAAGCAGCCTCCTAGTAGAAGACTGGGTCTGCCGGGGTGGTGGCGCACACCATTAATTCCAGCACTTGAGAGGCAGAGGCAGGCAGATCTCTGTGAATTCGAGGTCAGTCCTATCTACAGCGCTAGTTCCAGGACAGTCAGGGGCATTACACAAAGAAACCCTGACCCAGAAAAACAAAAACAGAGAAAGCAACAACAACAACAACAAAAAAACACCAATATGACAGGCTGGAGATATGGCTCAGAGGTTAAGAGCACTGACTGTTCTTCCAGAGGTCCTGAGTTCAATTCCCAGCAACCACCTGGTGGCTCACAGCCATCTGTAATGAAATCTGATGCCCTCTTCTGGACAGCAAGCAAGCATACAGACAGAACATTGTATGCATAATAAATAAATAAACAAATCTTAAAAAAAAACCACCAATATGACTAAAAATTCAGTCCTCTGAAAGAGCGGTATACACTCTTAACCACTAAGCCACCATTCCAGCTCCTAATATTTATTTATTTAGATTTTTGTTTTGCTTTTTGAGACAAGCTTTCTCTGTGTAACTTTGGAACCTGTCCTAGAACTTGCTCTGTAGATCAAGCTGACCTTGAACGCACAGAGATTTGCTTGCTTGCATCACCACGACCAGGCTTATTTTTATTTTATTTTTTTAAAGGAAAGACTACCAGAAGAAAAGAATAATTAAACATTTTGTGCATTGCCAGAGCATAGTAGCTGGAAATAAAAAAAAAAAAACACTTTCACATATTTATTAGGTATAAATAATTATTCATGCTATAATCTTGGTTTTTAGAGAGGCTGAGACATCCTGAGTTCAAGGACATTTTGGGTTATGTACATCCCGAGTTTCAGACCAGCCTGGGCTAAAGGAAGACCACCCCAAACAAACCCAAACTGTGTAAGGTCTCACCTTAGGACTTCAAATTTGTTCGAGAATGAATAACATAGTTTGCACTTGGCAGGTGCCCAGACATTTGTTTCAGTTCAGTAGTACAAAGTTTCGTTCTTGGTTATGCATTCTCCTGTTTATTACGGTGCCAACCTTGAAGTCACAATCGTTTGTTTCTGAGAACTGCTGTTCTTATTTATTTGCACTTTCCTATCTCACCCAGTCAATGCTTGGTAAACTTGTCGTTGTTGTTATTACTGGCTTTTTGAGACAAAGTTTCCCTTTATAGCTCTGGCTGTCCTGGAATTCACTATGTAGAATAAAGGGGTGTGCCACCATGCCCAGTGCAGCTGGCACTCTTAACTGCTAAGCCATCTCTTCAGCCTGTTTTTATTTTATTATTCATCTTTTAACCCCCGCCCCCCCCCTCAGCGTGCTCGAGACAGGGTTTCTCTGTGTAACAGTCCTGGCTATTCTGGAACAAGTTCTTATAGATCAAGCTGGCCTTGAACTCACAGAGATCCGCCTGTCTCTGCCTCCTGAACGCTGGGATTAAAGGCGTGCACCACCACTGCCCCAGTTATTTATTTAATTTTACGTACTAATCCGAACTCCCCCTCCCTCCCATCTGCTCCTCAGTGAGGGTAAGGCCTCCTCTGGGAAGTCAACTAAGTCTGTCCCCTGACCTTACTGAGACAGGACCAAGGTCCCCCTGCTCCTTCCTAGGCTAAGCAACGTATCTCTCAATAGAGAATGGGCCCCACAAACTAAGTTTTAGGGTTAGATCCTGGTCTCACTGCCAGTGGCCCTGTTGTGCCTGAGTCCTAGGACCCCCAAGAGGACCACCACGGAAGCCACACTTCCGAATGCAAAAGCAAGATTTTGTTTATTAAGTATGGGCTAGCACGGGTCCTCTGCCTCCCAGTCTGACACAGCAGATGGAGAGAGAAGGACCATCTACTATTGTAAGGGGTTTATAAAGATGAAAACCACAAAACAGTCATAAGGTTACAGTCTCAAAATACAAAATTACGTATCCTATATTATAATTGGCTAAAGATTTTGGTAAAGCTCAGTTGTTAGTTCCTGATAGGCTATTAGTCTAAGGGGGATAGCACCTGTTCCCCCCCCCCCCCCCCCCCCCCCCCCTCCAGACATCTGCTGACCCTTTGCTAACCACAGGGACTGGTTGAAATATTACCCAACTGGTAGAGGAAGTTGGGTGGTCAACATTCTCTGTATGACTACAGGTGGGGGAATGGGCTGCAGCCAACAACTGTGTAACTTAGGTTTCTCCATTAGCTAATACTTCCCCTAAAGAGGGGTCCCACAGCCTTCAGCTTATCCTGAGGGCTGGGGTGTCAGCCTTCAGCTTTTCCTGGGGGCTGGGGTGTAGTTCAAGGGCCCAAAGGGGCCCAGCACAGAAATGGAAGCCCAACATACTGCCCCCCCCCCACATTGTCACCTGCATTCAGGGGGCCTAGTTCAGTCCTATGCAGGTTCCCCAGCTGTCAGTCCAGAGTCAGTGAGTTCCCACTAGCTCCCGTCAGCCAATTCTGTGGGTTTACTCATCATGGTCCAGCCTGTTTTTTTTTTTTTTGAAATGGGGTCTCTTTTACCCAAGGCTATTGCTGGCCTTGAACTCATGGAGATCTGCCAGTCTCTGCCTCCCAAGTGCTGAGATTAAAGGCATGTGCCACCATTGCCCGGCTTGTTTTTAAAGTGCTAGGTTACAGGCACAGACACTATGGTTTTGGTTATTTCTTTCCCTCTGCTGCCTCCTCCTCCTTCTGTTCTTTCTTCTCTTCCTCCTCTTCATTTTTTAATTTTGAGACACGGTTTAATTTTGAAGCCCAGGCTGATCTACAACTCACCAGGTACCTAAGACTGGCCTTGAACGTCCAATATTCCTGTAGCTATCTCTTAGGTGCTGCGGTGTGGGATAGCCTTTTCTATAGGAAGATCCACAGCTCGAGGCCAGCTTCAGCCACATAGCTAGCCCTGGTCTAGGGAAACAAAAACCAACCCAAATGTAAGGCCCAGCAATGGAGCTACTGACTAATCATACTCGTAAAAAAGACAAATCTCCTGTCATCCAGGGAACTGTAGGTCAGCTTTTTTAAACTGGATGTTTTGTGTTGTCTGTGTATTGAGTTTCTTTTTGAAAGAATGTAACCAGAAGGACAGAGTAACCCAGTTTGGGGTGGGTAAAGTATCTCTCCTCCTTTCTCCCAACCTTCCCATATTAATATGTATTTTTACTTATCAAGGAAGGGAGGGGGGAGGGTTGTGCAGCATCAAACAATTTAAAATTAATGAAAAAAAAAACCCAACCAAACAGATTCTTAAATCTTAGAGGCCTGTGACCTTCCCCATCTCCTCCTCAGAGATAACTATTAGAGCCCGGCCAGTCAGAAAGGTCCTAGCTGCAAACCCTGCTGCCAATCGGGATGCCCTTACCTGTTGAGGAGGCGGCTTTGGTTTCCTTAAGCGACTGTCTTCTGGACCAACCAGAGGTCTCTCGGAAAGGAAGGCACCAATCGGACTCAAGAGGGAGGAAAGTTCGGGGCTGCACCTGCGTACGGTGAGTCACTCATCGGAGGTCCCTTTTTCTTCACCAATCGGAACGTGGGAGAGCCGGGCGCCGCCCACCGGGCGTGGAGAGAAAGGCGGGCTGGACTCAACCTGGCGGCTGGAGTCCAGTCCCAGCGCGGTGGATCGCGGAGCACGTCCCAGCCGAGTGGCTCGCCCGACGCGTCGGGGTTGTAACTGTAATGGGCACCGAGGGGAAAACCGGGAAGAAACTGCTGTTTCTCTTCACGTCTGTGATCCTTGGTGAGTTCCCGGAGTTTTTGGAGGAGTAGATGGGTGGTCCGGTCAGAGGTTGGACGAAGGCGCACCCCCACGCGCCCTCGGGAAGGGAGGAGTCCAGAAACCTGCCTGCTCGCCTGCCTCGCCCTAGGAGTCCACTTTTCCGCCCAGGTCTGGGTACTCTCCTTTCCCCTCCCCCACCTGGATACTGGCTGTTTCCCCTCCCCCAAGCGGGTGATCTGTGACCCCCACCTCCTACACCGTGGCCGGGAGCATTAAAAATACCGGGGGGGGGTGTCCACGGTTCTGGGTCTCTCCTTCAGCCGGAGGATCCTTCCCGCACTCAAGTATCCAGCTACTCATTCCATTCCATTTATACCTGGGAATTGCCGTCTTCCCCCTCTCGGAGGACTCAGAGAGACCTTGAGCCTCTCTTCCGGACTTCCTTGGCTCAAGTGTCCTAGGAGGAAATGTAATGGAGGTGGGGGTAGGGAATGTTTCCTTTCCTGGCTTTTGCAGAAAGGGTGTCTCGCTCTTGTTAAATTGTGGACCTTCTGAGATTAATGCGGGGGGTTCAGCGTCTGAAGAAGAAATGAAATCTCTAAAATAAACTTCTCAGATCATAGCATTCGTAATTCCTTCCTTGAATAACTAGCGAGGAGTCCTTAATTAATCTTGTTGACTGAGTGACGATTCCCTGGGGGAGACTGGGTCTATTGGCTGGTTGATCTCAGAGCCAGAACTCTGCCCTCCCCCTTGTCCGGAATGAGAGTTTTTTGTTTCTTTGTAGCCTCCCTTTCCTGAGAAACAACCAGGCTCGCAAGCTGGGGCTTGACTGTCTCAGAGGTGTGTTTGGATGAGGCCGAGAGTGAGGTTGGTTGGTTTGTGCCTTGGTCAATGTGTATCAGCACCTGTATATTTATCTGTCTGATTTTCCCCGCCACCACCCTTCAGAGCCGAGGACCAAACCCAGGGACTTGGGTGTGTTATGTCTGGTTTTCGAGTGTCATACACTACTGTTGGGTAGTTTTGTTGGAACATGTTCTTTATGAATCTGTTTCAAGGTTCGTGCTTTAGAGGAAACGAGACATTACAGTCAATGCTGGTGTCTTCCGAAGGTTTGTTTTGCTGCGTTTTTTTGGAGAGCAGAAAGAGATCACCCACGGTGGAGAGATAACGCCTTTGTCTCATCACAAAGCTGTAAACCAGTTTTGTGGGTGGACTAGACAATGGGTATTCCTACTTCTCTTTTCCTACAGATAAGGAAACTAGTCTTGAGAGAGGAAATGACCTTTCCAGTTTACAAGGGGGTAGAAGCTGGGGCTGGACCAAAGTCCTTTATCCTCCATTCCTGGAGAGCCAGCATCTTAGGGACTAGGTACTATCTGAGCTATTGCTTCAGAATTTGCTGTTTATAAAACAAAAAACAACCTTCCACCAGATCTTTCTTGTCTCGCTTGAACTTCTCATTCTGCTCATCCACTTCTGCTTTTCCTCATCTTCCTTTCTTTGCCCAACCATCACTTATTTCATTTTAATTTGTATCTTAGAAATGTTAGCCACACCCATTTTCCTGTTTTGTGTTCAGTTTCTTCTGGATCACTGACAGCAGTTGTTAGGCTTGTAAACTTCCTGAAGCTGCTTCCTTCTAACACCTCCCGCCTTCCTTTTCTCTTTCCCTAACTTCCTATCTTGGTTCTATAGCAAACTACCGCCCAAAGGATTGTGACAGCGGCGTTTTGAGCAAGCAGCCACGTTCTTAGGAAGCCTGAGGTGTTGCATTTGCTTGGCAGGGCAGTGGATCCGATGGTGGGGCTGGGGTATGGATGGTGGGGTGGAGGAATTCACCATGCAACTTTTAAATCAAGGCAGACCTGGGGGAGGGGAGTGGTTTGCTTAGTGCAAATGAGGATGGGAATGGTAGCCTGGCCACTTCATCAGGCATCCTGGCTTTGCTTTTTTCTCTGTCTTGTGACCTTAAACTCAGCTCTTGAGCTATAAAACAGGTGTAATAATACTGGTCCTGCCCTTGCCGTGAGGATCAATGGAGGTAATAGCTACATCCCAGGACATGAAGGGATTTCTGCTGCACGCTATTACCTACCCCTTTGGATTTTGTGAGGGTGTAAGAATGCTGTCCTTACCAGAGTAGGTCAAAGGAAGCAGGGAAATTCCCCCTGGCAAGGCTTTATTTTAGCATTAAATTGAAGTATGGTCTTTTTTTTGGGGGGGGGGCATCTGGTCTGAAGCATAAACAAATGGCCGCTGTGTCCTATTCTTTCTGAGTCCCTCTCATCGTGGTCTCAGCTCTCGGGGAGGGAAAAGAAAGGACAAGATAGTGTGAGGAGCTGAGTGAAAGACAGCTCCAGCCTGAGGTACTTAGTGGGCAGGGACACACAGACACGCCGCGAGGGCTGAGCTTGGGGGTTGTAAGACTGGTGACCCAGAATGCTGCATTCCATTCCCTCGAGAACCTGAACTTGGAAAAAGTTCAGCTACGAGCACTGGCCAGTGGATGGGCCAAATTTTATTGTATCCAGAAGGGAGGAAAGCAAGCCAGGGTTGGGTGGAATGCTGACATTTTCGCTGCCTCCTCTTACCTGGGTGTGGGGTTCCCTTGCTAAGAGGGGTGGACAAAGGCCATGGCTTTTGGTTCTTCTGGTGTTTCTGAAGAAGTCCCCTTTGAGGATTTCCAATGTGCTGTTCATGGGGCAGACTTTCCTCAAAACTGTGGATTGGTGAGTCACGCCTACTGTTTCATCCTGGGGAAATGATTATTCTCTTGAAACTAGAAACTGGTGAGTGGCCACAGCTAGAAGGAGGAAATTGAGCGGTGGCGGTGCTCCAGCGGGCTAGGCTTGGCTCTGGAATGCTTTCACCTGTGATATTTCACTTCCGCTTGTGAGCTGGGCTTGTTCAGGGCCTCCAGCGTAGCTCTGTGGGCAGAGCAGCTGTGATTCTAAAAAGTGTTTATCCAAAGTGCATTGGTTGACAGGATTTGAGATTCAAAATATTTCGAAGGGGTGGAGTGGTTTCCTCCCACTCTGTTCTTGCTAAACTATACCTGGCAGAGATTCTGTCTAGTGTTTTGTTATGCAGACACATGTGTGCAAATGTGTATTTGTTTTCTCACCATTTCCTTACACAGTAGAGGCTTACAGTACAGTATGCATTAGATCACATCGTGTTTAGTTTACTTAATATAGCCTAAAATCAATCTTTCTTCCTTCCTTCTCCTCCTCCTCCTTTTCCTCCTTCTCCTCCTCCTCCTCCTCCTCCTCCTCCTCCACCTCCTCCTCCTCCTTTTCCTTCTCCTTTTTTTTTGTTGTTATTTTGATACTGAGTCTTACTGTGTAGCCTTAGCTGGCCTGAAATTTACTATGTAGATTAGGCTAGGAGTCTTGAACTCAGAGTTTCGACTGTGTTTTTCCCCCCATGCTAGCTAGCATTATTATAGGGGCTATGATCTTGGCTGCTTGGATCTGTCCAACCTCCTCACAGCTGGAATTCAAGGGGAAGGGTGCCGACATGCCCCTCTCCCAAACCCCCAAAGATGGATTGAAACGCGGCATACATTTTATGTGGTAAATGAGGAAGTAATGGGGCTTGATTTGAACATCTGTTGGCTTTGAGACTAGGAAATCTCAGAATTCATGCCTATTCCCCTCTGCACAGGCTCGGCTAGGTGTGAAAAGCAAATACGAAGTGAAAAAGAGGTTTCTCAGGATTGGGAGGAGGGTCGGGGAAGCAGTATAAGCAGATGGGCATTGGGGTTTTCCAGGTTTTGAAACCCTGGCGTTGGTTTGCCTGGGACTCCCTGATAAGCAGTTTCTGTCCAAAGTCCAGCTCGTGTCATTTGTTTTACAGTGTGGGGGTGGGATTAGAGGAAGCAGCTGCCTGGCAGGAAGTGTGATTCCAGGTCCCTGGGTGAATTCTGTCCTGGCTGGAGTCACTGTCCTTTGCGATGGGGGAGGGGGTCGAACAGGTCAAACTGGAAAGTCTACAAAGAGGGCGGGAGGGAGCGAGCGTGGAGTGAAAGCCCCCCCTCCTCCTGCCGACATTGTTGATCTCTACCGTCTTCAGAAGTTCGAGCCTGCTCTGTAGTAGGACTCACACAGCCTTCCCATCGCCCAGGCGTTCTGTACCCGATCACTTCAACCTCCAGAAAGTGTGTGTTTGTTCACTATGTCCAGAGCGTCTTCTGAAGTTCGTCTGCCTAGCTGTGAAGGACTGTGTTCTTAGAGAAAACCAGAGATTGGCCGGCTGACTTCCCTCCTTTTCCTTCCTTCCTTCCTTTTTAAAAATCAGACTAGTGGCATAAAAGCGTCTTGACGAATATTCTAATAGTGAACCGGATGTATATGGAGAGAAAACAAAGGGCTTCCTATGAGAACAGTAGAAGGAAGTAGCTGTTCTGCTGTGGGCTGGACCCTCACCTTAGAAACCGGGTTGTGTGTGTGGGGGGGGGGGGCTTCAGGGAGGTTCAGGGAACATCTACAGCTAAGGACTGAAGTCAGCTTGTTTCTTTGTTTCCAAGAGCTGTAAGCAGGATCCCCAACTTGGATATTGGAGGGGGGAGGTGTCAACAAAGCACAGAAAGTTTTGGGAGCAAAAGGCAGGAGGTGACTTTTGTGGTGGATGTGGTGACTTGTGTCAGTAATGCCGGCACGCAGAGATCTTTGACAGCGCCATTGTATGCACTGTGTTCTGGTTATGCGTACACATGCCTCCTTTAACCCCCTTTCACTCCTGCCCATCTCCCTCCCTCAACAAATTCCCTTCCCACTTACACATCTTTCCTTTAATTCTTTTAAGGACTACATTTTTTAGATTTCATTTGTGTGTGTGTGTACGTGGAGGTCAGGGAAGACCTTGTGTGAGTTGGCTCTCCTACCATGGAACTGAACTCTGGTTGTCAGGCTTGGTGGCGGGCATCTTTACCAGCTGAACCGTCTCCTTGGCCCTCTGCTTGGTTTTTGTTTTTATTTTGTGATTCACTGAGTTTAACCAAGGCCTTGGGTGTG